TTGAATGAATTGACTCAACTGGTTTATTATTATTTAAATCTAAGGCCGATGGGACGACTAAATAAATTTTTATAAATAATATTTTACTAAATAAACTTTTCACATCTGTCTTACAAAACAATTTGTTTTACTTAGTTGCTTGGCAATAATAACTTCCAATTATTAACAATACGAGTATATTTTTAACGTTACATGTTAACAGTCTAGTTTACGTTTCGGGACCTTTTATTCCCATCTTCAGAACTGCAATTCCAATACTCTTGTGGATGCAAGGCTTAATTCTAATAATAAAAATAATAATGTGCTCCATCGTCAATTTTCTAATTTATGTTCTAAAATTTATCATCTAGAGCAACATTCTCCTATGGCACTATGGCAGAAACCCAATTATTGGTCAAAAGGAGAATGTTGCTCTAGATGATAAATTTTAGAACATAAATTAGAAAATTGACGATGGAGCACATTATTATTTTTATTATTAGAATTAAGCCTTGCATCCACAAGAGTATTGGAATTGCAGTTCTGAAGATGGGAATAAAAGGTCCCGAAACGTAAACTAGACTGTTAACATGTAACGTTAAAAATATACTCGTATTGTTAATAATTGGAAGTTATTATTGCCAAGCAACTAAATAAATTGACAACTTCCCAGGAAAAAAAGAATTTGTTTTAGATTTGTAATAAGTGAATTTATTAAAGTCTTATAACTGTAGGCTTGATATTCTTGGTCTTCAATGTCCTGCCTCCCTCATCTCATCTAACGTCCTCTCGCCTCCGTGTCTCAGCCTCAAGTGGCTTCTCTTCTCACCAACGTCCTTCTCCAGCTGTTGCTACCTGCTCCGTCCTTTCCCTTCTTTCTTCTTCATCGATTGTTTATCGATATGAGGCTTTTCAATGAATAATTCGTACAATGCATAATTGAGTACAATTCATCGTGCAACCTCACATTCCTATGCATTCCTTCTCATTCCCTCACACAATTTCACATAACAGAGTAAATACAGGGTATCTACTACATAAATGTTCAAGAAAAAGAAATATTTTATTAATATTTTTCTACTTAAGATAGTTTAGAAATTAAATAATCAAAGTAAACGAAACTGTTGAAGATCCAGTTGTAAGTTATAACGTTATGCCATCGGAGTTATGCTAAACTAATAAAGATTTGGCGAAAGCACTCAAATATGTAAACTGATCGCCGGCCCCTGACAGGGTTCTTCCATTAAGGGAGGTCGATACCGCGGCCAGCATTTTATCATTAGCACTTTTGGTCCAACGAACTTCTAGCTTCCTATAAAACTAATAAGAACTTGCAAACATCTCATGAAAAATTATAAATGAAATATAACTAATTTTAATATAAATTAATAAACTGAATATTTCTAATCAGAGACGACGGGTTGAGAGAAAAACAGAACAAACTGCGAGTGGGTTCATCTTACTGTAACCAATAAATTCTTGAAGGAAACTCTAACCTTGTTTACTTACCTTTTGCTATTTAAAAAAAAAATTGCAAACATCTCATGAAAAATTAGAAATTTAATATAAATAATTTGAATATTAATTAATAAACTGAATATTTCTAATCAGAGACGACGAGTTGAGAGAAAAACAGAACAAACTGCGAGTGGGTTCATCTTACTGTAACCAATAAATTCTTGAAGGAAACTCTAACCTTGTTTACTTACCTTTTGCTATTTAAAAAAAAAAAATAATAAAAAAATAAAAAATAATAAAAAAAAAAAAAAAAAAAAAAAAGGACAAGTGAAATCCCTCCCCTCCCCCCGACCTTTTACTTACCTACCAAACATGTGTCAGTACATGAACAACCTCAGTGCTCAAACCACGGTTAGTAAGAGAAAATATTACAAATTTATATAAATGGATTATATACATTATTTTTTATTTTTAGTTTGTATAACTATTTTAATATGTGTATTACAATATTAGTTAAGATTTATGTGCCATCAATCACTATAGTTTATTATTTATAATTAGCGGTCGTATACTATTATATCTCTGATAGTAATTTTAAAAAAACATTTTCAGCCCTGAAGATGACCCACATGTTTGGGTTGAAACGTTGGCAAAAATAAAAAAAAATTTTAAAAAGACTGCGTCCTGAATATTTATCACCCGTAATCAATAAATGTTTTATTTATCGAAATTTTCGGAAATGGGGCTTTTTCATTTTGGAGGTCGGCAAACTTTGTCTATGTAACGAGGTACTAAAACTCATAAACTCCCATTCGCTTTACACTTGAATCGTGCAAAAATTTATTCCCGAAAACGACAAAAAAAGATGGCCTACAAAAATTTTGGGTCGTTTGGTGTGACTTACATCCATAACTTTTTAAAATAACGTGGTTGCATATATATTTTTGTAATCCATCTTTTTTCTCGATTTTCTAATCAAATTATCTTACGATTCATGTTTTTATTTTTTTCATAGCCCCATATTTACTTGTTTGATGTGTTCTATGTTCTATTTTCTTTTTACTGAATATTTTACATTTTAAGGAGGTCCATATTCTCATAATAATTTCTATATATATACTTTCTAATTTATAATTATTTATTTTCGATCTTTAACCGATTGAATATTTTTATGTGCATACATTTCTCCTTATTTTACTGGTCTCATTAATTGTATTCATTCTAATATGTTTATTCCCTTCGTTTAATTTTACTCGTATTTTCTCACCTTTGAGGAAACTCACCGAGGAAAGAATTGTATTTCTATTCTTAAATACTTCTGGTCCCACCACTTTTGTTTTAATATTTGAATACTTAACAGTTGAGAGTAGTATATTGAGGAATGATTGCCTATCGATCAGAAAAAAAACATGACTTAGAATAGTGAAACTGTTTTATTAAGCCAACGTTTCGACCCAACTAAGCAGGTCTTCAGCGGGGCTGAATTAACAAGATACAAAGCCTGTAGAAAACTGTAAAAGTTTAGATACTTAGATAAAAAATTGAGAAAATTATCAACAGAATAAATTAATTTTGAAAAGTCGGAGAACATACAAATATATAATTTTATTTTAAAACTTTCAAACGTAATTTACTCTTTACCTATTCTTTATATGTTAAAGTTCTTAATACTCCTATATATTCTGTTTATATTTTTTAATCTAAATATCTTGCAACTTCTACTGGTTTCTGTAGACTTTGTATCATTTCCGTTCAAGCCTAGTTGTGTTGTAACATCGGCTTGATAAAATGGTTTTTACTATTTTAAAATTTATTTTATTATTATTACTGTTATTTTTTTTTTGATCTGCATCCAGGATCATATCTTTCCTCATAATTTGAAATAAATAAATGTTGATGGAAGAACTAAAACTATTGATGGATAGTTGATGTTAAGCTGTTTTGGACAAGGATTAATGATGCATTAATATATCAAAGAAGATGACGTGTTCTCGTGTCTTTAATACCAAGGGTTCTCTAGTGGCTGACTTTGTGTAACGACAGGATTTAAGAAGGTCGTAATGTTGAGGGTGTCCAAGCCCTCTAGCCTCTGGTCTTCGCTCTCTTAAATCCCATTAAAAGAGGCCACTGTCGTATTATGTTATTTTAACTGTCGTCATAAAAAATGTGAAATAGCCACCAGTGTGAAGGCGACCTATATTGAGAAAATAAATAGCCCCATATCATAAAGTACCAATTTATAAAAATAAAATTCTTCTATAACATCTTTTATGTATCGTATGGGATAATAATAAATGCAATAATGGTTACCGCTTCTTTTATTTTAATAATATATTGTCAGGGACTTTACAATGATTTTTTAAATATTTTTTTTATAAAATATCTAATTAGTAATTTCGAAGAATTTCCGACTCTTCAGCAGCCCTTGCGAAAAGAGCAGCCAATACAAAAAAATGCTTCGCAGAAAGCTACGCCAGCTCAGCTGCAGGAACCATCAAGAAACCAGATGACAAGAAGAGAAAATGCTACTACATCTGCTCACATCAAACCATCATGTTCAGGAATGAGGCGGGAAACTACTCAGCAGCCACCTTCAGCTGAAAATAATGCCCCACCTCAATTGCTCCAATTACTCAATGGTTTAAACTCCCTCATACAGCCCCTGTTTAGTATCCTCCAACAGCTTGCACAGGTGACTCAAGCCATGTATCCATGATACAGCTTATTCTATTTTTTACACATTTTTTTTAACTTATTACTTTCATACCTATACTATAGATATAGAGGAGTCCGAAAAACACATTTTTGGCCATTGGTCTGTCTGTCTGTGCCTAGATTTTCTCGGGAACTGCTGAACCGATTTTGATGCTTTTTTTTTTATTTTGTAGGGTTTTGACCAATGATTCCTGTGACAGAAATTCGGTGCTCTATGCGCATTAGCTTGCGCGCAATAAATGAAAAACCTGTTTTTCTATAGACTGTAGCGCAAAAACGGCTCTAACGATTTTGATGAAACTTTCCTATAATGTTCTAATCGTTGTTTTTTCAATTTTCATGTATAGACTAAATTCCCGAAAAAATTCAAGAAAAATTCCCTACAAAATATAAAAATCGTTCATTTTGGACAACTATGTTACAGCTATTCAATTTCCAATGTAATATTACGGGTTCCATATCTTGGTGTCAGAAAGGGGTGAATGAGAGAATAAAGATGAATGAGTGAATGTAAGAAAATCTGTTGTCCGCATCACACAATCTTTACTATTTCCACAACTTTTAACAGAAATTATTGTTTGAAAATACTAAGCTATGGCAAAAAGTTTTTGATCAGCAATATTAGGAAGTATTGAAATTTTTACACTGATCTACCTTTGGACAGTTTACATTGCTTTAGTTTATCAAAAAAATCGTACTCATTTGTTTGATAAATTTTCAGGAAAATGTATCTAGTTTAATTTTTTTTTTGTTTCTTGATGAACATATGTAAAGATATAAAAACTTTTCTGAAATAGGTAGGAAAGTCGTGTGACTGGACACTCCAGATTTTTTCAAGTGCTATTGGTGTTTATAAAAATATTTTTTTTTTTTGTTATATAAAAGATCCTTGGTCAGAGAGCTGCCTAACAAGAAGACCTCTCCGTTTGAAGGACAATCGCCAGGCCCTAGATTGGAGGACTCACCTCCGGATAAGAGCTCTCCTTGGAGTGGTGGCTGAAGTGGTAGAAGTAAGTGGGGGAGCCCCTCCTGGCGTGGAGGTAGCCCAACCTGAGGAGGGGGGCCACCGTGTGCCCGTCAGAGAGCGCTTCCAGGGTCGAGTCCCTGATGTTGATCGGGTGCTGGATCGGCTTCTCCCAGTCCGTGTACTCGTTCCGCACGGTCGAGAAGATCTCGTTGAGGTGGTAATCGTAGGCGTTCCTCACGTACGTTCTGTAACATAGCAACGATAATAAAAATCAACAACAACAATAAAAACTACGATAATAAAAAAAAAAAAAAAAAACAATCAGTGCAATTACGAGTTATCTCATTGATGCCAGCTTCGATTTAATTCGTAGATCATTTTTATATTATTAGTACAGTTGTAAATTTCATTAAAATAAAAAAAAAAACGCTACAAATTATTTCACAATGGTTTATTATTTCCAAACAATTATACATCTAAACTAACATTACTTTCCCGTAGTTACAAAGAAAAAACAAAACAAAAGGTGATTCCAATTATCGGAATAACTTTTTTTCTTTAATCATTAGTAATATGCTTAAAAAAAACCACATTCAAAATTTTTTTATTTTTTTATTTATTTTTTATTTATTTATGACATTTACAACTGTATTACATAAATACATAAGTAAATTTGGACATAATTGATATAATGACATGAATACACTTGCTGAGTAACTACCCAATGGTAGCACTCTAATGATATGACTACATTAGGAGATCACGGGGCCATCTTCTTTTCAGACGCCTCGGAGGGTTATAAGGAATTGAAGAGGAAGCAAGGTTAGAAACGAGAGGGTTGGGATGATTCTGAAGTTTATTATGGAAGGATACGTATCTGGATTGGGCCAGATCTGAAACATAAGGAACATTAAGATCTTTATGGATAATTTTATTAGTGACAAAGTAAGGAGCATTGAGGATGCGAGAGGAATTCGATGGTTTAGTGGAGCCCCATAGCTCAACTCCGTAAGTCCAAATAGGTCTTATTATAGTCAAGTATATGAGTCTTTTGTAATTAATGGGAAGTTTAGAGCGTTTGTCTAGTAAGTGCTGAAGTAATCGGAAACGTCGAGCGGTTTCTTGTCGTTTCAGTCTAGTATGAGGATTCCAAGTTATTCGTTTGTCCAGGTGGAGTCCTAGGTATCGGATTTGCTCAACAGGGATAAGTGGAGTATTGTTAAACAAAACTGTAGGACAGGAAGTCGTTGGTTTACGACGAAGGGTAAAGGTAATTTGGTGGGATTTATTGGAGTTTATTTTAATCATTCAAAATTTAAAAACCAAAACAAGGATATAACATCTGGACTGAAACATATAAAAAAAACCGGAGACCATATCTTTGCTCCTAATTGTCCGATTTTTAAGATTTTTTTTTTAGGAAATTTCGTAAACTTTTAAAAAACTATCAATACAATATCAACAAAAAAGTAAAAACTTTTCGAGTTATTCGGAATTTAATTATACCATCCTTCGTAACTTTTTTTTCAGCTCCTTTTGGTTGAAGTATGTCATATAGATAAATTTAAAGGGCGTCGAGAAAATGACTTTAGCGAAGTTTCATTGAAATCTGTACATTCGTTTAGGAGCTACAGTCTATAGCAACGCAGGTTTTTCGGCCGCCATTTTGAAAATTAAAGGCGGAGAGTAATGTCGATGAAGGAGGATCATCCTCGGATGATCTCTGATTTTATACCAAAATTTGGAAAAAATCGGTCCAGTAGTTTCGGAGAAAATGCGCGGACGGCGGACGGACAAAAAAAATTGTGTTCGTTTTTCGAATTCTACGCGTCCTGAAACGTGAAACCTCAAACTTTGAGAGGGGGTTAAGTTTTTGAATTTTTTAGTCGATCACAATGGTTGATTATTGAAAATAATAAACCAAAAATTTAAATTTCATCGTATATATTCCTTTGTAAAAATATAATGGTATATTTAATCGTTATAATTTATATTCGTTTGCAATAATATATATTTTTGTCGTTACAATTTATATTTGTATGTCACAATATATGTCTATATTTTTGTCGTTACAATTTATATTTATTTGAGGTAGACAAGATGATATCAGTTGAGACATGATATCGTAGGATGACACAATATATGTCTATATTTTTGTCGTTACAATTTATATTTACTTGATGTAGACAAGATGGGACAAGTTGAGATAGGTTCAGGCCAGTCGAATTTCAAAATGGAAAAATACAAATTAGGATTAATGATTAGGATTAAAAATTAAGATTAGGGATTAAGATCAATCAAAATAAATTATATTGATCAAGTGGTGTACAGAGAGCTGCTGTTGTTACTCTTACAGAGAGATTTAAATTTAATCTTTGCAGAATTTTAAAATATATTTATTTTATATTTGTTATTAAAATCTACGTATATGGTATAAATATTTACTTCATAGTGAAAACACACTGATGATAGACTGGAGACGCTGGACTAAGAGAGATCCATAATGCATGTGTTTCAATTAAGAGCTAAATAATGCAATACTGCACCAAGGAGCCGCATGAATAATGCACTATTCAATTTTGAATAAACCATTTTGCTGTATTGATCTCCCTCGAGCCCAAAGGATGTATTAGGAAGGCGCCCCCCCTCAAAAGAATTTCCAACTAACTCTTATTAAAATAGAGTCATCAATATTGATAGGGCGTCTATCATCGCCCATGGCCAAACTTCGCTCGGGGTCTGAGTGGAATATCGTTTTAAGGCCGGCTGGTTGGAAGGGGTGGGGAGGAAATTTCACCCTATCCTTATTACAAATTGTTTCTTTTATAATAATACTTTAAGGGCTTAAATTTAATATTTAGTTATATTTTTTATTATATAATGCATTTTCTTTACTATTATATATTGTATATTAAAGTACGAATAATTTGAGAGAAAACGCCATGGTAGTGGCGATCAAAATCAACAAAAAAAGATAATAAAATACTATAACTTGAATTCTGACGTTTTGGCGCAAGTTATAGACCTTCTTCAGGGCTTCAAGAAACACAATAAGAAAAGATGAAAACAGTATCGGTATAAAAAAATCTTGACAAATGTAATATCATATATCAAGGAAATTTAAGCACACAAAGACCTCACGATGCTAACTAAATACATACTGAAGGAAAAAGAAGGTCCTATTAACACAGGTAAGGAAGCAGCAATTGAACAGCTGATTAATAAGAATACAAGAAAGGGGAAATAAGTACGCATAACTAAAATATAATAATAGTAAACGTGATAAATTAAATTAAATAATAAACAAAATTAACAAATTTAACGCTTTGATGATGGGAATGCTATTCTATCTTCCCACAAAAATCTTACTATCACATCAATTTCCTTTCAAAACCCCCTTTGCGATCTTCAAAATTGGTTTGCGAAATGGAAAATCAAAGTCAATAGTTACAAATCCACCTACTTATTCTCTTAGGAAAATCTCATGCCCACCCGCAACGATCGAGAATATCCCTGTGCCTTAAAAAACTATGAATGATACCTCGAACTCTACCTAATCGACAAAAGACATACTTGGGACATACATATTAAATTAAAAAGACAAGAACTGACTAGACGATTTCTAACATCTTCTAAACTACAGATCTTCACTTAACTTACGAAACAAGCTTCTGATCTACAATACATACTGAGACTAATTTGGACATACAGAGCAGAACTTAGGGGTTCGGCAAATCAAAAACACATAAACAAAATACAAGCAACAATGAAAAATTTCAAATAACACTATACATTAGTACTTGAACATCCCAACAGTAAAATCATACATTTATGACAAATACACTTCATTTCACTCTTCAATTCTAAATTACTTCAATTCATTAGGTCTTTCTATTTCCTCTCCCGTGTGGCCTGATCGACTCAGACTAAAAAGAAAATTCCCAAGGGACCTACTACAACCAATTCAAAATTAAGCTAATCAAGCAAACTCGCAACTAATCCATAATACATCAAATTTTCTAGGTGCACTGCATAAAATATTAAAATAAATAAACAAATTAAAAATAAAAAAGCATGAAGGTGTATATATATTAAAACTATCTATTTATTGAATATTACAACATTCTGTCACTTAGAAATTAGCTATGGTGAGGTTGGATTTTTATACGAAGTTGAATAAGTAAATTTATAGTTCATAAATATATGTGCTGATTGTCACTTTTAAGACTGGTGCGAACGAAAATATTAAGAAAAAAAACTATCTCGAATATTTTATTGTTTGTGATATGCTTAATGCTACATAATAAATAATCATATAAAAGTCACCAATAGTTATTTTTCAATTAAAAAACCAGAATAGTTCATTATGGTATTCTTTTTTGGTATGTTTTTTTTATTTAGAGGTTTGATTAAATAAGAAATATAAATTTTTTTGTTGTTGTTGGAAAGAGTATTTTAACATATAAAAAAATACTTTTCCAAAGTCCGGCCTATGAGCTGGAATAGTTCAATCAGGTTTTCATCGTTTCAGACCACCGTACCAATGCTCCGGGCTGAGTTTGATAGGCAGTCCCGCATGATTGATCTATCAAGCGGTATAGTAGCCCTTCAACCCCTGCCCCCTTTGACCATTTAAATTATTCATTCTTAATTAATTTTATAATTACATATATCGTTCTATGTGTAGTTTGAAGGAATACAATTTATTAATTTATTAAACAACTACTAAAATGATATGAAACAACTACTTAAGTGCTTAACTCAAAAAGTTAGGCTTTTAACCCAGTTGAAAGATTTAAATAGATAAAAAACAAATAGAATATTTAAAAAAACAACACTATTGTAAAAACTAATTTCCTAAGCTTATAACTTAGACTCCATATTTTTCTCCCTTGTAATACCTTTGCGAGAGGCCATGGAAAGAGCACTATATACACGTTAGTTTATTGTTATGGCCGTTGTTATGTAAATTTCTCGTTACCCCGTAAATATTGTACTTTATAGCTCATATATGGTAGTACTACACTATCACTGAAGTAAAACGTTATTTCTTTATTATACGTGCCAAAAAGTACATTTCTAATCTCGTTCGTTAATTGAGGTATACAATTTGCTAAGAAATGGTGACGGTTTTTTAATTGAAAAATAAAAAAAATAACTATTGGTGACTTTTATATGATTATTTATTATGAGAAGGAATTAGTAGAGGGTGCGGTCAAACAAATAAAAAAAAATTAAAATATAT